CAAGTTTGATCTTCTCTGCTTCCACCAAGTTAATGGGTCATTTTCTTCTGTTGGTTCAATTTTAAGAAGTGTAAGATATTTATCAATTTCTGTTAGTTCTTCATTTTCATTATGTTGTTGCCGGACTGAGGAGAAAAAGCTTTTCATTGCTGATTTTTTCTTTTTTATAGTCTCTTCAGGTAAACTTGTAGCATTTTCTACCTGACTTAAACTTCCGCTTAATTCATCAAACTGATTTTGTAACCCTTCAATTGTTCTTTGTTTCAACATCTAGTATAAGAACACAAATAGTAGATAATTTTTAAAAGGTTTAAAACTTTTTTAAATACAATATAATAAGATACTATAAAGCCAAACCTGCAAATCTTATAAGATTTGCAGGTTTTAGCTTTGCGACACTCATATTATTTTACAAAATAGTATTTAAGAAATTTTAGTTAAGAAGATTTAATTGTATATTCGTGAAATAATGCAAATACCTATTATATTATTTTACAAATATATAAAATAGAATATACTTACATATGAACAAAAAGATAGATCCTTAAATCAAGGATCAAGTAAAGATGCATACATTCTATAATAGTGTAGCAGGGACCATTAACTTGACAGGTTAAATAATATTTCTTCTTTTACTTCATTTACAAGATCGAAATCAGTATTTGTATTATTTAGCTAATGAACTAATTCTTCAATTGTTGAAACCATTATACTTAATGTAGAATAATTTGATCCAGAAAGAATTTCAGTAGCTTTATCAAATGGATATAAAAGTTTAACAAGAGCTTGTATAACTTTAAATTCTTTATTTGATAATAGTTTATCATGAATATTAGCACCATCACGACAATAATCATTATTGTTTGAATTTTCAAGGTCATTAGTTAGCCATTTAATTGGATGTTCAAGGTTAACAAGTTTTTCAAGAGCCATATAGGTGAAGTTCCACTATGTTGCAACATCAGTAATTACATCAACTATATTAGCTTTTACTATATCTACCCTAATTTGAGCTTCTCTTAATTGCTTTCTTTTTTTTTCTCCACTTAAAAGTGAAATCAAAGCTTTACATTTTGTAAGTAGGTTGTGTACAACTTCCAAACCTGCTTTAACACTTAACTGTAACATATGCGTAGCACAGAATATATTAGCAATTGTGTCTGGTACTGAAAGTCTTGCTGATAGTTATGTAATAGCTAATTTGACATTAGAGCCATTATCTGTAGTTATACTTAATATTTTGTTTTCTTCTAAACCAAATTCTTCAAGTATAGGTTTAATAGAATCAACGATATCATCGGCAGTTTTATATGCACCTATTTCGACTACACCTAATGTAAGATCATAAATACAAAACTCATCAGAAATCCAGTGGCAAGTTATATCTAGACAAGAATCATGTGCCATAAGTCAAATGTAAGTGATACTGTATTTGCTTGTATAAGCATACGTTTAATAGCTTGGGTTGTATGATTTGTTCTATTTACAATTTCATTTTTAATTGTATTTACACACGGCAGTTTGTATTGAGAGTCAAATGAGTTTAAAAAGGTATGAAATTTTTTATTTTTTATTAAAGATAAAGGAAGTATACAGGAAATAAGAAGTTTGACAATATCTCATATAAGCTTCTGTTGTTTTGATGCCAAATAAGGTTTTGATAAAGTGGTTTCTATGGTTTGTTGAGAGGATTTTTTAAGCTCTTCAACTGAGCTATGTTCAAGTGATATTTTTGTAATATGATGAATGTTGCAGAGGTGATTGACCATATTTGTTGTTGAACCATGCTATGTATATTGAGTTTGACAACCTTCAATTTTACATTTGGCCTTAGTTATTGGCTTGTCATCAGGTTTAATTCTGGGCTGCTCACAAAATTCAAAAAAGGTTTGGACCAACCCAGGTTTATCAGAAAGTTTTGCTCTTTTAGCTTTATTATTGTTATTAGAAGTTTTATTGATTAAAGGTAGTGGTGGTGATTGAGAAAACGAAACTGAAACATTGTCATCTTGATCCAAAGTACTTGTATTAGATGTACTAGAAGTTGAATAAGTAGGAAATTTGTGATCGTAATCATTATCCATGGCAAGGTGAAGAGTTAAAGAAAGAAGAATAAAAGTAAGAAATTTTTTACTTTATATAAAAAAATTCATGATGCAAGATGCTAAAACGTTTTCAGAGCATCAAAAAAAATTTAACCATATACCGAAAGGTAATAATATTGATGATATAATATTGAAGTTCTGAAAATAGTAATAGACAGTTATGCATGTATATATATGCATATGCAATATTAATAGACAGTTATGCATGTATATATATGCATATGCAATATGTGCGTCTGTCTAATACTATATAATACTGTTATTGCTATCTTTTAGCACGTATTTGAACTCTTGGTAAAGTCAAATATACTAAAAATTTTTACGTTATACATAATCTCTAATCATATGTTTATTCTTTAGGATAAGTATAGTCTTATGCTTGCAGATTATTACTATTATCATTTGAATTCATTTAATTAAGGATGTTCACAAGCATTTACCTTAATGAATTCAATAAATAATCTAATTGACTAGTTTGATTAAACAGATCAATTATTCAAATTCATTCAATTAAAAGTATTCACAAGCACCCACCTCAATGAATTTATTAAAAAATCTGATTGACTAGTTGATTAAACAGATTCGTTATTGAGTCCATTGGGGTATATGCTTGAGAACACCCCAATACATATGTTTTTGTTTTTTTTGATATTATATAGCTCCAGGAGATATCGATTCAACAATAGAGAAATTGTTCTTAGAATCTCAAAAACAAGCAAAGAAATCAAGAATTTGGAATTGCTTATCTATGACATATGTAATATCAAAAAGAACAAACGTACTGTTATCCAAATGTTAAAGAAAAGCTGCTACAGCATGTCAAATTTAGGTTTATAGTAACTGGATAAGATAAGCATTTTTTTTTTATCTTATGTTTATATCTAATATTAAAGTGGTATAGTATTTTAACAATGATTTTTTTTAGTTCTTCATGTGAATACGATTCAAGTCTTAAAATACCGAAAAGTAGATTATAGATAGTAATGCAGAGGTCTGTTATGATCTTTAGTGAGGATAATTATCAAGGAAATTTTTTATTATAAGAATTAAAATTTATCATATATATTCTTTTGTATTACTGTTAACTACCATATGCAGTACAGCAATATCTTTTATAAAATACCTACCCACTTCCACCAGTGTGATCTCTGGATTTGTGAATGCTGATTTTTAATTCTTTAGCATTACTTCTATGATGTATATATATCAACTAATATTATAATATAAAAACTTATACATATATATCTATATAAATAATATATATTTTTGGTGTACATTTTATTTAAAAAAAATCATTTCTAATAGCTAAAAATTATTATCCCAGAACATGCTTTGGATGCATAAAGTGTTTTTTTGCGCAACTTCTAAAACTTTGTAACTGTGAAAAAAATTTCTAACAAAATAAATTATACTAAAATTTGTAATAGTCTAATAAAATTGAATACAATTAAGTTCTTATGAATGCAAATTATATTCCTGCAAAAAAAAATATTTAAAAAATCAGAACCTAATGTTGTCCAGAAAAAATAGGAATTATCCGGCTTGTATATTTAAGTATTATAAAAACTGATTAATGATTAGAGCCAAACAAGCTGATAACATCCCTAATACGAAAAAAATTAATATATGAAATTAAAAACTATAATTAACGTTGTGTTTCATGGTTTATGTATTGAATACTCTTTAAGCTAGTAATTGGCCTTATATTACCGACACAAATAGTTAAGAATTCTTGCGCCATAATGAAGCCTTGCAATAATTTTTAATCCTGAATCATTAGTCACTTATTATTTGTTGTTTTATTGTAACGATAATGTGTTGTTTCACAAAACACTAACTAATCGATTAATCAACTAATCAATTAGTTAGCCAATTAATTAATCGATTAATTGATTAATCAGGTTAATTGATTAATCGATTAATTGATTATTCTATTAATTTGGTTAATCGATTAATTGCATGCCATAAATGTTAATCGATTAATCATCGATTTGATTAACTAATTGATTAATTGATTTTCGATTTGGAACACTAGGTTATATTGCATTTTACTACTTTTCTTGCTACTATAGTTCTGGTTACTGCCTAGTTATTCTTCCAAACAAGATCATAATGCCTCTTTAGAGCTGTTAGTACTACTTATACCAATTAAAAATTTATATATACAATCTTTATATAATATCAATATTACACATAGTGATATTTCTCTACAAATAGATCTCATTCCAAAAATTCCTATTCTATATTCATATTCATTTGGACTTTCCATATATAAGTATTTTCAATTTTCATAAGTAAATATATTTACTAGAATAAGAACTCAAAACCTGTTTATGAAGAGTTGGATATTTAGACTACTTGATTACAAAATCTCAACTTCAGTTTACAAAGAAGTTTACATAGTTAGTAAAATATCTTTTAAAGATATCTTAGCATTTACTAGGCTAATTTATATGAGTTAATTGCTATTAGATATATTTTAACAAGCTTTACAAAGTCTTATAAACCAGAAAAATAATTAACTTAGTATAAAAAAATATTTTAAATATGCATGCCATATTTGAAAAATCTTAATTTTTAAAGATCAGTTTGAGTTTCTTGTACTTATAAAATAATATACATATATTATATAATATTTTTATAATAATAAAGTTATAAGGTATAATTTCACTTTAAAAAAAATTTAATTTTTATAATTAACATTATATTTCACTATGATTACTCTCTGGTTGACTAATAGATTACCAATTAATATAAAATATATATATAAAATATATATATTTAATACAAAATTATAATAATTTCAAAGATTATCTGGTCTAAAATAAATTATTTTTTATAATAATATTAATGCAAATATTTATATTTAATTAATCTTATATGGGTAAGAGAATAGCTTTATTAATATAAAATATCTTTAACACAAATAAACAAAGAAAACCAGCTAAAAGAAATCTCAAAAAATATATACTGATAGTATAATAATAAAGATAACCAGTGAGTAATATATTTACAACCTATATAGAAGTTAATAATAAAACATGCAGAAGTACATGTCTCAGGTTACTAGCTTGTGATAGTAATTAAATAAAATACTTAACTTCTGTTTTAAGAGTTTAGACTTTAATAATACTATACCAATAGAGAGTACTATAAAAGGAACAG